CGTCGCAGCGTGCAACGGAAAATGATCTCAGGCAACAAATTGAGATGGGCAAAAGCGAGCGAAAAACGCTGCAACGTGAACTGGAAGAGCTGCACAGAAGACTTACACAACTCGAGAATGAAAGGAAAACAATGGTCATTCAGCTGGACGCTGCCAAACGCGATCGAGCCATCTATATCAAAAAGATTGAAATGGTGAAATTTCTTCAGATTCACAATTTTCCGCGCCTCCTGGCTTAGTATTAGAGCAGTTTGATTAGAGTTAATGAAGCAATAAAAGTAGAAGAAAACAGTGGGACAGATTTGAAAGTAAGCTTAATAAATTTAAAAAAAAAATTACGCTGTAAATTGAATCGAGACGCTTGAAAGCGTCTTCTTTCGTTCAGCTGTGTGCATTTCAGATGGGGTGATTGCATCTTGAAAGTGACTGCTCACCAGTGTCTCACGCTGTCAAAGACAACTTAAGGATGTGACTGCACAACAATAAGAACTTAAGGATATTTGTTGACCGTTCTTTTGGTTGAACGAATTAAAAGGCGCGAAATGATTTATAAATCATGTAGCTGTTGCAGCTGGAAAATGAAAAACGACGTACGGATGTAGCAATCCGTGAAACTGCTATGCAGCGTGAGGCTATCGAAAAATCACTAAATGCAATGGAACGTGAAAACAAGGTTTGCTCACAAGCATGCTGCTAATATTTATCGTTATAATAACAGCTGTAAATATTCAAAAGCCAACTACAGCATTTAGTCTATTCAAAAGCCCTTATCTTCCTCTATCCATCGCTTTCCGAATAGCCTCTGCGCATTCCAGCTTAGAATTCGTTTTCCTGAAGATGATTTTTTGTGCGCTTTTGCGCATTTGTGCAGGCGCAAAAACGCATGTCACGATGACCCATGGTGTGTATATATTTGTGTTGTGTTCGTAAGTGTCTCTGTGTGTGTGTTTTCGTCCGAGTTATTTCAGCTCGGCAGTCAAATAAGCTTCGATAATCAAATTTTGCCACCGGGTCCTTTGGCCACGTGCGACTCAGGAACGTGGCATCAACTTTCATGCACATGCGCATCTTACATACGGACATAGCCGAAATTGTGGAGGGGAAACAGTCAAATCGGGAACCAGAAAAGCCAGGAAGCTGAGATTTTAACTGAATATTTCTCGCTCAAGTGTGATCCAAAATTTGATATTCAACTCCCAGGTTATATTTATCAGACATGAGTGAAACATTTTGAGAAAGTCTGGAAAAGACGCTTTCTTAGCTTCCTCATCTTCCTTTCTGCTTATTCATTTGGACTTGTCTAAATCTGCTTCTATGATTCAGAAAATCTGAGGCCTATTTTACGTATTATCCGTCCTACTTGTATGGTGAAATGCTGAACGGAATACAAACCGGTTTTGTAGGAACTTTACAAGAACTGCGCACAGCTACAGCAACAAATTGCTCAGCTGGAGCTTGAAAATGGTAATCGCATCATGGAACTTAGTACCAAGCAACGTGAGGAACAGGACAAGCAAATGCAGCGGATGCGAAACGAGAAAGCACAAGTAAAGCAACTGCTTACCATATTTTCATCGTGGAAGAAAAATTAGATTTTATTCTATTCCTTCAGAATTCTGATAAGAAATATGAATGTTAAACCAAAATTTGTTTTCAGATTGAAAGAATAATAGAGAGTCGCGAACGCACGCAACAAAACAGAATCAAACAGCTAGAAAATCAACTTAGCATTATGAGAGAACAGCTGGACAACGAAAGGAGACGTCGTCGAGATTACGTTGATCGAAGTTTGGCTGGTGATATTGGACGACTTGGTGGCGGTTATCTTGGACTACGCACTGGTGGCATTCATAGTGCTGGTGTGTTGCCGCATTTAGGTGATGACTATTTGGCAGGAACAACGTAAGTTTCACCAATTTCCCATGCCCTTCCCCTCCCCATCATTGACCAATTAGTCAAAAACCATTTTCAAAGTAACTAAAATCCTAAAAATATACTGAATTTTAGCCGATACGTGCGCTCAACCTTCGCTTCAAATCCACTCACTCCGCCACTTGGGACTTCCACACCAACACATTTTCACGGTCTGTGATTACGGAATTAGAAAATTCGGACATCAAAGAGTAAATCACTCAGCAATACAAAAATTTTAAAAAACAAAAATAACAAGGTTTCAGATATGCAACGTGAGTCGTATATCTCATCATCATCATCCTACCATCCGTCCTTAGTAGGAAGCACCACAACAGATTTCGGCGGCAGAATTGAAACTTTGGAACCTTCTAAAGAGATCGAAGGTCGGTAATTCATAGTTTTCTTTATAAAAAAAAGTAGTGAAAAATGTAGAAGACAGCGTTTCACTAAAAAATCATTCCGAGTGTTTTCCTCCAAAATATTCTGACACTAGACATCTCATCGTATTAGCAGATCAGGTAGTACCGTGATACGGTAAAATGCAATGTTTTGAAGATATAATTTAGTAAAAATAAACGAAAATTGCATAAAATTTTAAATTAATTAGCTAAACAACAATGCCTGATCTCTTGAAGTCCTATACAATTTTATTAAGCACCGCAAATGAGTTAAAAGTGTGTGTGCTCTATAAGTATACTTCTTAGGTGTCCTACATCAGTTCCTAAACACTGCCTCATAATCAGTTCCATTCAACTATTTCATGTACTTATACGCAGGGCTCAGACGTGCGTAAAGGAGGTATTGGGTTCCAGGGATGACGCCCAGCTAGGAATCCCAATGGCAAAATTTCGGCGTCGAAGCTTATTTGATTGTCGAATTGAAATACTCGGACAATTGTTCACACACATAAATACGCACACATGCACACATCATGGGCCAACGTAATATGTGTTTTTACATATTATGCAATTATGCTTTGGATGTGTGTCTGTACCTGTTTATTCGCGCTTTTTGCTACCCACTTTTAACTCGAGAACCAGAAAAGCTAGAAAGCTGAAATTCCAGGAGTTTGTACCCGCCCCATGTGCGACCCTCCCGTTTTAATATTATCATTTACGAACGCCTGAGTCCCCTTTACGGGCGCTTCAAAAAATATGCAAATTATTTGGCGGGAAAGCGATCTTGAAAACCAGACAGGATGGGGGATATTCTCTGTGCATGTGTGAGTTAAAGATTTAAAATCTAGCTATCACGCGTGCTTGCACAGAATGTACAGTCAAGTCGAGCTTTAAAGTTGGCAACACGCCAACTTTAGAACTAGCCGGTAAACAGTAACTGAAATTTTGTCAGAACATTTATCGTCCACCTGAGAATCGTACATCTTAATGAAATTTCGAACTGCGCTTAGGACACCCTCAAGGTGCATCAAAGATATTTGTAGAGGAGATGTGATTCTGCTCACCAGACAAGCTGCAAAGTTGAAACTTTGCAAGGATATTCCATGTTCATATTTGGTCCTAATCCAGCCTGGAGGTGGAATTCTCTACACACTGACGTGACAGATCCTCAATTTTATCTCAGACTCAAATTGAGTGCATTTAAAGGGTTTTCGTAATCATACTTTTCGGTATTCTATGCGTTGTGAAATTTGCATTTTTTTATGAGCCACCGCTCACCGAAAAACAACCGAGCTTCATTTAAAATTAAAAATTATGCATGGAATTTCGTGCGGCCCCGTAATGCAACATCGCTCCACCCCAGCTGACGCACTTTATACTTGAAAAGGTATGTGGTAAAACTTCAGAAAATTCAAAGCTTACCCAGAACACGCTGAGTCGATGTCGGGCTTGATCGTGGCGTTGCCTTATCGTCGAGGCTGGTAAATCGTCGAAAAAAACCCTTCTAACCGCCTTGCGGATACAAGTCGTAATAAAGATAAATAAACTAAATTTTCATAGGCTTGAGGGTCCACCAGCTTCCTCGTAAAAAAACATCGCACCACATAACTGAACGGCCTATTAGCCGCCTCGTCCGAATTGGTCTAAAACAAATGTCGGGCCAAAGCCCTAAAGTTGGCGCGAGGAGACCTCCCGCCGGAAATCATCCATCCCTTGCCCACACTTTGAACTTTCTTGCCCAATTTGCGAATTTTCGCGTTGGGGTCAAATGCTTGATCTTTGAAGAGATCTTCTTTTCAGGGCAAAAAATAAACCACTGTGCTGGAACCAGGCCTGCTATAAGTGATCTGTTCGTTGAAAATTGCAAGTTCGGCGCAAAAACGCATGATTGCATCGGCAAGCCCAGTGCGCTGTAGGTTGCATTTGCGCACATTCAACCCAGGCTGGAAAGCACCGGGCGGGCCCGCGCGATTATGCGTTTTTGCACCGGACTTGAAGTACTCAGATCATTAACTGCGTGAATGGTTGTTGCTTTACACCTACCTTTTGCGGTCACTAGCATAAATCACCATAAATTTTGCATA